TTTTTTTTTCTTCTTTTTTTTTTTAATTCGTAAAGATGAAGATGAGAATGGAGAAACTTTCAGAATGCTGTTGATCCTATTTGGAGATTGTTCTCTCTTTCAGACTGAAACGGGCAAGTTCACTGTCCGTTCTTAGTGGAGAGGAGCCCCAGAAACAGGTTCGTGTGGTGAGATATGCATATAAGAGCTAATTACTAATTTTATGAGGAAAAAGTATTAAATGTAATGTTTTTGATTACAAAAAAAACAAACTATTTTTAATAATGAGGATAATGATAATTATAATAATAAAAAAACATAAAGATCTGTATATTTCTTTTGATTCACGACACTAGCAGTGCAGTATCCATTTTTGTATTCTTGTATAGTAATATTTCCCATCTAAACAGTCCTTACAGGTTCCCCTAGCTGTGCGTGGTCGAGCAGTGAGCTCAGAACACCTTTCCCGACCAGCTGCTTCTGCCTCGCCTGGCCTGCGCTAGAGACTACTTTCATGCTCGCTGTTCCTTCTGCGTTAATGTTACCTATCATAAGCAATGGGGAAGATCTATTCATGGTAGATTACAAGAGCCTCCTGTCCTTGCTTCTCCACATAAGGACAGAGAATTGTTCTTTATGTTCTGTACGTCAGCAACCTACCAGAGCAGTCTTTAGATATGTGTTTTTATAGATTGTTCCTATGAAAATTCTATCTATGTCTGTGTGTGTGTGCAGGACTTTAATAACCATAACCCATTGTTAGTGACAGTTAACGGTGGGGCATTTAAAACTTTGAGAAAGTTACTTTTGCATGACATAGTACATCAAGGGCAGTTGTGTATAAAACAAGGACAGGTATTTAAACATCGATTTACATTGCATCATTGATTTTATGCAATTGAAATCAGAAATTGGGAGAGGCAGAATAATGGAATAAATAAGAGAATATAAAAGCCCAAATTAGCAGATGGCAGCCTGGTCTTCCAGTTCGAAAAATGGGTAGGAAACCAAGGACAGAAAACCAAGGGGGTACTGATTTGCATGGGACAGGTAACGGAATTTTAGATTTTTACAGGATGAAAATGTATAAAAATAAAGAGGAGAAATTTATGGATTTCAACACTGGAAAGTCAAAAAAAAAAAGAAAAAAAAATGTAGATTAGAAATGGTTGTCTTGTTTTGTAGTACCATCACTGACACATTCAATGCATTGTGTTTGGATGCCTAAGCTGCATTTGAATCCCTGAAACTGGTAGAGTGTAGTTACCAGAGAATAACAATTACATAATGTGCTATAGTCTGCATATAGTTTCCAAAGCCTCATAATAGCATGTTCCAAAGTATTCATCTCTTAGCCTGGACAGAACTTTTGTCCATGCAGCTCTTATGATTTTCTGCACATGTATAGTCACAAAATGGCCAAGAATTTCCTTTTTGTAATTTAAATGAATCCATTATTGCAATCTTGAGTGAGAGGTGTGCATGTGAAAAAAAAGAAAACAAAAAAAAGTTTATATTTAATAAATATTTAATAATTCAATGTCTCTGTACTGGCAGAACATAAAATTTACATTTGATGTCATGATAGAGTGCTTTATTGAACAAGGCATTGACATACCATTCCAGGAGGATCTTGATAGCTATCTAGTCTTTTATTTATGAGATTTGTGTCATTTCACTTTTTTAGTTTCTTACATTGTGGATTTTGGTATGTTGTTGTAAATGGCTATATTGTACATTTCCAGTTTTGTATTACTTAATTTGGTTAAGATGATTTTGTGTTATATTTATTTCTGTAATAGTTTTGTGTCTAGGTCAAAATTATACAAAGAATATATTGTTTTAATTTCATTCATGATTCTCATGAGCAAAACTATTTTTCAGTGTAGTTTTAAGGACCATATGCATTATATCCACCAAGAAAAAAATGATGCACATCCTGTTGTGGATGAAGCTATAGTTACCCTTGAACCAGTGTCCCATACAGGGTTAAATATATACACAATATGAGGAAAATATCCCTGGAAACAGTTATTTATCCCACTAGTGACTAAAAAAGAACTACGAGCTTTGGGCCACAAGTTCCCATCTCTTAGTTCAGAAAGAAGATAGTTGTACTGTGATTCTTGCACTTCCAGTACTATATAAATACAGTTGCTGGCAGTATAGGAATGTTAGTCAACTGGTATATCTTGCACAGGGGTTGTAAAGATTTCATCATTTCAGCTGTCTGAACGTTCACAACCTAACTCTTTTGTTAGCTTCATGTCTGCTTTTGTCTGTGCATTCCCACGGTGACACAGCAACCGATGTAGGAAAAGTTATCAATAAACAACTTGATGGCTTATGCGTATGTTTCTACTTATCCTAAAATCATAAGGGGTACTTGAAATTCAGGGAGATTTGATATAAATTGTCCCTGCAGTGAATTGTTTGTCAAACAATTTGTAATTCTGTTTTAGTTCATCAAAGTAGTTTTAAAGAAATTACCTTCTTGTACTAAGGAACACATTAATTACATTAGTCTTGTCTTAACCCAACAGTGATGGGTATGTCCAAGTGGAACTTTTTTTTTTCTCTTTCTCAGTTTAGACATTTCTTACCCATAAGTAAAATAGGGTAAATCAGATGTCCAACTACAATTGTTTTACAAGTAAACAAATTTGGTAGATGTCTAATCTTTCATATATATTTAGGTTCATAATCAATATATGATACACACAAAATTGCTAAGATATATGTTGTATGGGTATGTGCACAATTTTTTTCCTCCATCACTGATGATTCCCTCCAACTGAACCTATTATTTAATATTTTCTCTCTTGATTCAGAAAAAAAAGAACCATTAAAAGATACTAAATCCAATTATAAAGACATTTGTTAAGACAAACAGAATTATTGAAACCAAAAAGCTATGTTAACAAAAGTAGAATAAATTACTGAAATGCCAACAGTAAATCTCAAATATGGTGTTGCTTCACATCCTAGTAAACCAAAGGAAAAAAATAACATAAGAATACAAACTTTTACTTTTTATTGTTTTCCTTAACATGGTAACATATTTTACATATTTTGAGTATAAGAAATTAAAATCAAATTGTATGTTGAAATTCCATTCTAAAATCACTGGGGGCTTATTGCAGATTTTCCATTAATCATTAATGCTTGTATGGCATTATATATAATTAAAACCTTTAAATATATTTACGTAAAGTATATTCATCAATATCTTTAAATTGCTGTAGTTTTGGCTACTCTTTCATATTTCAGTGTTAAAGCAAGTTTTTCTAGTTGATCAAGTTCACGCTGTTTACCGGTATCTCTCAGCCAAGCCTGAAAATAGAAATATGTATATATTAACCTGCAAATTTTCACCTTAAATGATACACACAGACACATCCTTATAGATTTAATGCACAATTCTTTCAATTCTCCCTTTCTCCTTTATTATTGTGCTCTGTGGCTCAGCTGGCTAAGATAACTGAGTATCATTAGTTTTGTAGCCTAAGTTCAAAGGAAAAGGAGAGAGAAAGAGAATGAGAAAAAGAAGAGAGAGAAAGAGAATGAGAAAAAGAAGAAGAGAAAGAGAATGAGAAAAAGAAGAGAGGATATGAGAATGAGAAAGAAAGACAAAAAAGAAAAAAAAGAAAAGAGAAATGTAGACCCATCATAAGTGTGATCCAACAGCAAAAACTGTTACAAACCCACCTTGAATCTTGCATCGATAGCCTTTTGCAGAATGGCTCTTTGCTCCGGCGTCAAGTCTGCATCCCTGACTTCTGCCCGGAAACTAGACACACATTTTCCAGCTTCTTCTACACTCTGGGGAATAAAAAAGACATTTAATGTAATAACTCATTAAATGTTTATAAATAATTCTGATAACCATTCATTTGACTAATGAACACAGACATTAACCCACTCCGATGCGCAAAAAACATGGAGCTCTCTTCGGAATTTATTTACTTGTGGAACACCAGTCATAAGGATTATAAAAGCAGGAATTTGAAAAGAACATTAATGGATGAATTAAGCAATGAACTCCATCATGAAGTAGCCTGTAAAAGCATCCACGATGGAAAGAGCCATTGTTTACTGCCATTAACACTGAACTGAGACGATGGTTCTTTCAGAAGGAACATTAAATGTAGTGTGACCAATCCCTCTCTGTAGCTGACCAGACTTTGGCACTCCTGTCTAGGGATCCCAGGACAGAATAGACTAGTGTGACCTTTGCTTAGTGTCCTGGTGAGAAGTTGAATATTACGAGACAATATCAGGAATATTTACAATATAATAATAATAATGAAAAATTAAGATCAAGAAGAAATTCCAAGAAACTCTATAAACACCACACAATGGGGGTGGGGGGAAAAAAAGATTACCTAGACCTGGTTGTCTTCAACTCAACTAATTCCTGTAACTGGGGCATATCTGTCGACCTGTGTTGAAATCCCAGATCAAGGCTCTGAATGCTTTGTTATTTTGCAAGTAAGGTACATCTAAATGCATCCCAACCTAAAGGTGGTAGTGCTTGGGTTTTTGTGCTTCTGGTAGTGTGGAAAGGTAGGCACAGTTTGTAGGTACAGGGAGTGTAAAGATTTGTGGGTAGCCATAAGGATGAACTAAGTCCGGTGACTATCAACCACCTTACTTAGACGTACCCTTGGGACAGAGTGGTTTGAAGTTATCATTAGTTTTCCTCAAGTAAAGTAATATCAACAAACCTCCTTTCCTCTATAAAAAGAAGCAGCTCTCACCTTAGCAAACTCATGAGGAAGACCTGGGGGAAGGAGGGGGGGTCTGCCGTCCACAGGCGCAGTTTGGGTGAATGGAATGACTAGCAGCTGGAAGTCCTCGGGATTCATCACTTCACATGCACCACTGAGAACACCACCTTCACTCCCTGAGAGGGCATGGATGGGAGTATTGGAAGAGAGGGGGATAGAGAAAAATTTGTTAGTTTGACATCAAATAAACTGGAGAACAGTGCTATGGTGGGTGATACAAAGGAATTGTTGACAATCCCAACAGCCTATTGTAGGTGAAAAAATAGTTACTGATGTACATACATTGTTTAACAATAGACAAACCAACTGATTGAATATATCTTTTGACAAAACATTTTAAAATATGGTATTTGGTTTAACAAGGCCTTTTGGACTAACCAAGATGCAGGGGTCTATTCCACATGTTGATGTGAGGGCGAAGTTGTGTCTGGGCCATGTGGTGCTTGAGGCGAGGATAGTGGATATTCAGGGGAGCTACAGTCACACCCTGTGTGCGCCCTCCTACAAGTAATGGCCTCTGGGGAGACAATGTGTGTATTACAATGCCCCGGCAATCTGCTATGACCAGGGACCTTGCTGCACACACAACAACAGTGTTACGACATTCACTTAACTTAACGCGTCCTGCCACGGGCCCAAGCACAACTCGGGTGTCATGGCATTTGTGGATAACTGCATGTCTGGGAGAAAGAAATGATTCATTACACATGGCACTGTTAACAGGAAATATCATAAACCTATTTAAGAGTCAAGCACTAATTTTTACCCTACCAATAGTTTACATTTTGAACTGATGGATATTGGTGAAAGTAAACCCTGTGGAGTACTATTCCCCTAAAATGCACTCCTCAAAAACTCTGACTGTAGAAACAAATTCCTTTTGCAACCTCAAATACTGCTCTTGTAAAGATAAAACATGAGTAACAGGACAATCACTACTAAATAAAAAGGATCCCTTAAAAATGCCTTCCTTTTTCCTTACCTAAGGGGTTGGAGGACAAATATATTTGATTTAGAACATCGCCGCACTTTCAGATCTGTATACGTTGCTTCTTCACCCATGTAGGCTGTCATGCCATCCACCAATTCACATATGTACATGAGTCTGTGACTGGAAAGATTAAAGGTAAACTTCAGGAATTATAATCTATATACAGACAGCTCTCTATATTTTCATGACTTGATTTTAGTGATAATTATAAAAGGATATTATAAAATAAAATAATATAAAGCAAAATAAAAAAATATACTCAAGAAAACCATCTTCAGTACAAGTAACAGTCTGGTTACCTATAAAAAACAACACAGTTCTTACCCTGGTGCTGGAGAAGCTACAAGCCTATGATGGGAAGGTTGGGTTAAAGAGACGACTGGCCATGATTGTCTACACCCTCGACGCACACAGAGCCACTCCCCGTGTGGTGCCCAGTCCAGCCCTCTCAGTAACCACTGCTCAAACAGACTGTGCAAAAACATCAGCAATATGTAGCAAATATAAAGACAATGCATGTATATACAGCTGTATATATACATATATACACATTCTTATAACACACACACACACACACGCATGTATGTATGTATATATATACACATTTACATATATGTATATATATACCTGTGTATATAGATACATAGATGTATATCATAATTGTGCATATGTAATAAAAATATTATAATAAAAATATATAGTTTTCATAAATACACTACACTTCAGAAATGAATCAATGGCATTATTTGGAGCCAAAGATGTGCTTGCTTGCTCGCACACATCCAGAGTTGGGGTGTAACTTACCCCTTTTGGAAGGCATTTTTTTTGCTGAGATATCCAGATCTATAGCAATTATTGGCATCTGTGGCCACGGATAACAAGTCTCTCTCTGTTCTGCCAAAAGAGGAAAAAAGATCTTTAGTTTGCAAATATTTTACTCTGCATTAAATCAACATATTCTGGCAAAATGGTCAATGGTTAAATTGATATATTCATTTGCACTAATATCTGCAACATCTAGCATCAACGTTGTGTACTGAGTGTCTCAGTTTTCTTTTGGAAATATTATTACCAGTGTTATTCAGCCTCTAGAAGTATGCTAAGGTATCCCATTTTGCAATATAACATGGTGAACATATTTTACTATACTGGAAAGATGCAAACTAAATCTAACACATTTTTTTAACACAACACCAACTTTTCTCCCTGCACAGAAGCTCCCAGGATGAAGGAAAGCGAGTTGACTACATCCACAGACAAGACACCTGCTGATTTCATAAAACCAAGCAGTTCTCTTGCTGTGCGTTTATCTCCTGTTTTCTTTTTCTTCTCCGTGTCTTCTACTTGTAAATGCTGTGAGTAGGAAGGAAATGTAAATGATCATCAATATGCACGATAATTTTGAGCTTATTTCTAAAAATACACAGATATATTAATGCATCAATACCAATACATACATGGAGCCAATTACATTAATTTTTAACAAAAATATACAAGCATATACCAATCCACTATAAAGTCTTAAAAGCTACAATAATGACAAAACATTTTACAATGACATTTAATAACAATTACTAGAACACTCATGAAACAATGCATATACAAAATTTACATATACATAAAACATCAACATAACACTCCTTCCAACAAGCCTTCAGTACCAGTTCATGACACACAACAATTCGGTCACATTCAAAGGACACACGCATGCCTTAACATCTTTCAGGCGGGCACATCAAT